TGTGGAGTAATATAATTAAGCGAGGGAAAGTGTAAAAAAAAACAAAAATTAAGAAAACAACAGAATTTTTGTATTAATTACATTAAGCCTAATTTGTATTTTTTTCTTACTGGTATCATTCCGATTGTGCATATTAGTGATGTGACATATTAGTTGATAAAATAAGAGCTTTAAATTTTGTTATGAAACAGTTCAATGTAATTCAGTTCGACAATTTTCTACAGTGGTTTGATAGTAATTATTTAAAGCTTTATTCAAATAAAACGAAATACATAAAGTTTGCATTACCTAATGTGAGGCATGTTAATATACTTATAAATGTAAATGTAAATAGTGAAAAAGTTGAGATGGTGGAATCGACAAAGTTCCTTGGTATTACACTAGATTCCCGACTGCAATGGGATCCTCATATTGATAATTTGTCAAGTAGACTGAGTTCTGCAGCATTTGCTGTTAAGAAAATTAGACTCTTAACAAATGTTGAAACGGCAAGATTGGTATATTTTAGTTATTTTCATAGTGTAATGAATGACGTATAATCTATTGTTATGGGGTTCTGCGGCTAGCATTCAAGATATTTTTATTCTACAAAAGAGAGCTGTCCACGCTATATATAATTTACGGTCTAGAGAATCTCTCAGAGAAATATTTAAAGAAATAAATATTTTGACTGTTGCCTCTCAATACATCAATGAAAATATTATGTACGCAAGAAAACATTACGATTCCTTCACAAAAAAAAGTAGTGTTAATAATCTTAACACAAGAAATAAAAACTTTTAGTTAATGTTATTAAAAATCTACTCATTTTTCTTTCAGATTCTTGAGGCCTGATTAAAGTCCCTTGAGTTCTATTCCCTCCTCATATACAAAGGCATATATTATATACTTTTGGCATCTATCATAGCAAAAGAAATATTGAATGAAAACAGAAATTTACCAACATTCGGACAAATTTACTTTAAATGGACAAAATTGATATGTTTACTTCTCCCTGGGGAGAGGGGTACTACTTATTATATCCCTAAATGCACAACAGCATCTAGTGTTGTTTTGCAAGCAAGTGGTAAATAAGAGAAGACATTTGCAGCAATTACAGCCCTACAAACTAAAAAGAGTCTTCTGCTGCTTCCTTCATCACCAAGACCATTGCCTAAGTGTTAATATACGAGGTTGGTTTGAAAAGTTCTCGGCCTGACCGTGATTTGAGGGTAGTAGGACAGCTCGATTTTTTATTTAATCGTATGTCAAGTGGCATTGTATACAAGTAGAGAATATATAGAAAAATAAAACATGTTTTTATATTTATTTTCTTTGTTTTCTTGGTCGGGCCGACCGGCCGATGGCCGGACCATCCTCGTAAGTGAGGTATACTAACAGAAACAGTGGATAAAGATAAACAGTGTTTAAAAAACTCCACTCATCCTTGGAATCTAGTAGAAACAAAATGGAAATCAACATCAAAACAGCGTCCTCACTATACAGAACACGCATCAGTAACAACATCATCCTACATACAATAGCTGGAAAATGGGAGTCCCTTTTTATACATTGTGCCTGAGTATTGATGAAATAGGAAACTATACCATCAATATTCGATCCCAAATTCATTATTTGTATGTGTTGTAACGTGGTAAATTTTGTGGCATTTAATAAGTTTTCTCTGGCAACCCTAAAAAAGTTGGGAGTTTGGAATGCACGTAGTGACAACCCATTTGACAGACGTAATTTTGCCTTTTGCAGGAAATCAATCCTTTAATATCTACTTAATTTGGTGAGTTTTATGTAATAATCCTTCGTTTTTACGTTTTTCCGAGATTGTTTCGATCGTTCATGACTTGTTTTCTTTCAGATTCCACGCAGTTCACATGAAACCTTACATGTGTTGTTAAAATTGTTGTGATTTCCATGCCTGGAGTTGATATAGACAATAAAAGCTTGGCAGGCCTATTTTCCTTCGGCAGGTAAGCCAAGGTAGCCCGAAACCAATAGGGTTTCGCACATGTGTTTGCTTAAGGAATTGGTGTTGATGTGTAACTATGTAACTCCGTTACAGGAGGCGTATATTGGAGTTGTATTTTGATGGAGAATAGTGCTACGTGATACACGTGGTAACATAAAAAGAAGGTGTGGTGAGTACGGGATGAGCTCGGTGAAATCCTGAACTCCACCCTCGATAAAGCAGTGAAGGATCCAAGTAATATAATTTCCTAATACTTTTTGCCGTTAATTAATTAATGTATTTTCGGTATTTCTCATATATAAGTATTTAAAAAAATAATAATAAAAACAATCTATTACATCGAAATATCTAAATAAACGATTTACTTTGAATTTGAAAAATTTTGACGGTCTATCGAAAATAAGTATTGTGGTTGGCCATTCTAACAAAAACAAAACTGATATTTGTAAGAACACAATATACCCTCACATTTGTGCACATTTAGTGTATGTTATTCTTAGTTTGTTATCGCGTTATATCACTATTCAACACTAGACGACATTCGATTTCCAGTGTTTTTTCAACTGTTTATTGAAATTGTGACTAGTTTTTTTCTCTTTTTTTTTTGATAAGTTTCAGTTTAAAAGAAAAAGTAGAAGTACAATATGAATCGAAAGTGCTTAAATTCACCGGACCTCTTTTGTTTTACTTGTGGAGAGTTTACTTCAAGTTCTAATCGAGAACGACCTACACCGTTACTTAATAACATTTACAATTTGTATTTTGGTTTCAACATTCCTGAAACTATTAAAAAAAGTTGGGCTCCGAGTTATTTTTGTTTAAGATGTGTTCGTTATTTAAGAGGATGGTTTAAAGGTACCCACCTAGCAATGCCTTTTTCTAAACCTACACTTTGGAGAGAACAAAAAGATCATATTACTGATTGTTATTTCTGTTTAACGAAACTTAAAGGATATTCCTATAAAACGAGAGATAAAATTGTATACCCTGATGTGGAATCAGTAACTAAACCACTTCCTCATACCGAAAACTGTCCACCGCCGCAACCTCCACAAAAGGAAAAAGATGCAGAGGACAACATAAGCGACGTCGAATCGGAATCTTCAACGAAGAGCCTTACTCAGTCACAAAATTTTGTTGTAAATGATAACGAACCACATTTAGTAGGTCAAGGTGAACTAAATGATTTAGTTAGAGACTTAAATTTGTCTAAAGCCCAAGCCGAACTTTTAGGTTCCAGACTTCAACAGTGGAATTTACTTCATCCGAGTACATAAATTTCAGTGTATCGAAAACGCGATGCTGAATTTGTAGACTTTTTTAAACAAGAAAGTGATCTTACATACTGCAGTGATGTGCAGGGGCTTATGAATAAATTAGGCTATGACAACTATTCACCAGATCAATGGAGACTATTTATTGATTCTTCTAAATTAAGTTTAAAAGCAGTCTTACTGCATAATGGCAATGATCTTCCATCTGTACCTTTAGCACATGGCATACACATAAAAGAAACATATATTAATATAAAAAATCTACTCGAGAAAATTAAGTACAACTTGCATTCTTGGAAAATATGTGCAGACCTTAAAGTTGTTGGAATATTACTTGGGTTACAAGGAGGGTACACGAAATATTGTTGTTTTTTATGTGAGTGGGATAGCAGAGCTAGAAGTCAACACTACATAAAAAAAGATTGGCCAATGAGGACTAATTTCGTTCCTGGACAAAAGAATATTTCCGAAAGCCTATTAGTACAGCCAAAAAATATTATTTTACCGCCTCTTAACATTAAATTAGGCCTCATGAAAAACTTTGTTAAAGGCATGGATAGAAACAGAGAAGGTTTTTTGTATTTAAAAACATTGTTCCCTAGACTGAGTGAAGCTAAATTGAAAGAAGGAATTTTTGTAGGGCCAGATATAAGGAAGGTCATGAAAGATACTAATTTTATTTCAAAATTAAACAAAAAGGAAAAAAATGCGTGGCTTTCTTTTGTTGAAGTGACAAAGAATTTTTTGGGAAACACAAAGTCTGCGAACTATAAGGAGATAGTTTCTAAGCTTCTACAAGACTATAAAGATTTAGGATGTAATATGTCTTTGAAGATAGATTTCCTTCATTCCCATCTAGATTTTTTCCCCGAAAACTTGGGTGCAGTAAGCGATGAGCACGGGGAAAGATTCCATCAAGATATCATGGCGATGGAAAGAAGATACCAAGGAATGCTTGCAGATTTTTGTTGGACACTAAAACGAGATCATCCGTCTTATAGTTACAAGAGGCAAGCAAAAAGAACAAAAAAATCCTCAGAATAAATTCTTTTGAAAAAATATTTACGAACGTCAGTAATTTTTGGTTACTTTTTAATAAATGTATTTTATGAAAAAAATGGGTGTTTAAATTTTTTTTTACGAACATATTTATAGTAGTTGCATGCCAAGGTATGAAAAAAAAAATATATCATTTTGTTGACCTTGAACCCTGTAAAGCTAGTACCTAAGCTATTGTCCGTCAAGGAATAGTGGAATAGTTGTCTTAAACAGTTTAGATTTAACAATTTTATGAAAACAGCATCAATAAACCACATAAAGTGTCTGAACTAGACTTAAATCTTTTATTCACTGAAACCCTACTTTATCTAACATAATTGCTAAAAAAAAATACACTACAGTGTACAGCTAACATAAGTTAAGTTCATACTAACAATGATATGGATCTTGGATGTCTGAAATAAAAAAATATTATTATTAAGGACTCCGCAAGGTTATTCTCTATTAATTAAAATTAGAAAGCTCAATTGAACACATTTATTTGACGTACAAAACAGCCATATTAACTAACTCATGGACTGTAATATATCTTTCATTACAATTTATAATAAACTAGCCCCAACTTTGTATAAACAATTTTTTTTTAAGATTTAGAATTCTTGTGTTTACAATGTTTATTATTTATAGTCCAAAAGGTAGTCAGTTGTGCGATGTAACGAAAGCAGGCAGATACCTGAATAGAATGAACTTACTATAGGTTCAGCATGAAGAATATGCTATCCGCACAGCTTGTACAAGGGAAAACATGGCATGCACCCCTTAGGACTACAACATCAGCTGGATCCTCAAACGATTTCCTGTTTTCGTCGCTCGGTATTGGTGTGTTACCGGGTAGGGCTAAACAAGCCAAGGCAGGAGAAGAAAAAACCGATGACAAATCAGCTGAGGACAAGAAAGAAGATGCAGCAAAGAAGAAAGATGAAGCAGCAAATTCACTGCCGCTACAAAGGAGGAAAATGTTGGCGCCAAAGCGCCCATATCATCGGGCATTCAAACTTTATGAATATTCGGAAGTTAGCTGCAAAACCATGCGCAGATCACGATTTAAGGTGTCAGCGGGACATACAGGAGCGCGACGAAGGAGCCCCACCCTCCACGCTTCACACGCGCACCCGCAGTTGCCGCTTGAACTTGTAAGAGTAGTGTTAGCCACGTCTCAACACTACACACACGCGCGTGCTGCTTAGAAAGTACAGTCGAGAAAAAAATATTGTTGTTTCTTAATTACGTTTTTGTTATTTTTTTGTATTGTTAAGTTTTATTGTTATTCTCGTTACGTTTTTCACTTTGTTATTTGTTGTTGTATTGGTGAACAACCATGCCACGTGTGCGTTTTAACGTTCTACGTCGTCAAGCAAGAAAAATGGTATATACCGTAATGCAGTTTATGAAAAAGGAAAGTGAAGAAGGTGTTCAAGTTCCGCTGAATTGTGTGCATCGAAGAACGGCGCTAGCTACAGGTGTTTCTTTAAGTACCGTGCAAAGGATATCGGCAGCAGCTCAGAAGTCTGGCATGTTAGCAGTTTTTCGTACACCTGGAAAAAAAAGGGCAGGAAAAAAACGGGTCACCGGCAATGACAACTTCGATCAAGGAGTTATCAAGAGATGGGTACATAACTTTCACGTGACTGAAAAAGAATTACCAACTTTAAAGCAGTTAAAAAAGAAATTAAAAGCGGACATAAATTTCAACGGATCTGAAACAAGTTTAGGACGAATATTGAAAGAATTAGGGTTCACCTGGAAAAAAGCTCAAAATGAAAGAAAGGTTTTGATTGAACAGTCAAACATTAGATTGCAACGCATAGAATACCTACAAAAAATCAATAGATACCGCTCGGAGGGACGACCAATTGTATATACCGACGAGTCATATGTTGATAGCTCACACAGCTTATCTAAGTCCTGGAGTGATGGGTCTGTGATGGGATTGAAAACTAAAATATCAAAAGGACAACGTGTGGTCATCGTGCACGCGGGGTCAGAAGCAGGTTTCGTACCAAATGCATTACTCATGTTTAAGGCTGGTACAAAAAGTGGCGATTACCACGATAACATGAATTTCACCAACTATGAAAAGTGGGTAAAGACTCTTCTCGTTCCAAATTTGCCCCCTAATTCGGTTGTCGTGGTAGACAATGCTTCATACCACAACAAACAGGAGGAACCAGCGCCAACTTCCAACTCAAAAAAAGCTGAAATGCAAAAGTGGCTTCAAGAAAAAAACATTTCCTTCGAGGAAACCATGTTGAAGCCGCAATTATTCAAGCTTATTAAGCAAAATAAAGAATGCTTTAAGACATTCAGCATTGACAAAATATTAAAACAAAATAATCACGATGTTTTGCGACTTCCACCCTACCACCCTGACCTTAATCCCATCGAAATGGCATGGGCAGCCATTAAACAGCATGTGGCAAAGAAAAATGTTACTTGGAACATTAATGCTGTTATGCAGCTTGTAAAAGAAAAGGTGAATCAAATGGGTGAAACTGAATGGCGGGCACTGTGCCAAAAAGTCAAAGATATCGAAAAAGAATATCGAAAAAGTGACGTGGTCATCGACGGATTGACAGAAGAGTTGGTGATTCACCTTAGTGAATCGGATACCGAGTCCGATTCAAGTGAAGACGAGGAAAGTGAGAGTTCGATGGATGACGAACCTTCCACGAGTAGAGAAATGACGATGGAGGGAATAGAGCCATTAGAATAAAACAAATATACCGGTTAAGTGCGAATTGAACTCGCATGAACAGTGTTTCGCAAGTTTTTTCATTGTATTTAAGCCCCCTATAATGTCACTGTTGCAAAATTCATTTATTTTTATTTTTTATTTCATATCTCATCTGTGTTTTAACCACAAAAAGTGATACATATGTACCAAATTTTAATTCAATAAATAACATGAAAATGTAGTAACAGTTTTGTTTTTTTTTGACTGTGCACTCAAGTGTATAAAATGGATACGGGTAAAGCATCAAAACATGTATCTGGAACTCTATGATCCCGTGATAAGTTTTTGATACTTCTTTGATGCTACGTCCATATCTATGTTTATTTACTTGACTGTACCTGCGCGCATCTGCACTTGCGGCTAAGTTCAGAGAAGTCATAAAGTTTGAATCTGTCTGTACCGTGTGCGACTGCGGTGCCCGCCTCTGTGGGCGCCTCGTTCCGCCGCACCGCTTTCAGCGGTAGCAGCGAAGGTCAATGCAAACCATGCGGATAGACAGAAAATTCAGTAGACTTAGCTCCAGTGTTACCAACTGGCCAGCAGACCGGTGAGATAGTTTTAAAGGCTATTTTTTGTTGACATTTTAGTCTTCTTTTTTCTTTGGTCTTTGTTCTTTTCTGCTGTCATGTAAGTAAGCTGCGTATTTTAGTTTGTATATATTTTATTTATCTTTATTATAATATTTTCTTGACTTTGAGCCCTTTCTTTTCTTCCAACGCCTATCATTTCTATCTATCTGTTACATCCAGTAAAAAAATTGGTGCCTGACTGGGAGTGACGCACTGCGTTATTTAGATCAAAGCAGCAGGAATTAGCCCATATATGTTGCCCTGACAATGGATGGGAGGCGCCGATGAGTAAATTTAAATCAAATCTCAGGAGATATCACTTACCACATGACCACCAATGCTACGGGTGTAAAATACCGAAGGGTACACTCGAAGAAGGAATTAATATGCTCATACGACTACATCCCGGGAGACTACTACTGCTAACACGGTAATAAGAGAGTATCAGCGTCTGCTAAATATAATACCAGCGCATGCATACATAACGTAAAGCGTATGTTCAAGGAAACAACCGGATGGCTTAAGTTGGGTGGAAGTTATATAGATATAAACTGGCGACTTCTTACATATTGGGAAACATTATTCGGTTATATAGCGCCAAAGACAATGGATTCACTTAAAAAGGATGTTGACGATGGGTTAACTATAACCAAACATAATAGAGAAAGGATAAACGAATCAAAGTATGTAGGGGACATTATACAAGAGACAGAACTGTATTTACGCGAGGAATGGCATAGGCCCGATAAGATACCAACTATAAAAAAATGGGTCGCTAGTGGTGTATGGATGTGCGGCAAGGCAGGAACAGGCAATGTCACAGAATAGTAGTGGAGGGGAAAAGGAAAAAAAACACGTAAATATAAAGGTGTCGATGCTGCCCTTAAGAGCAATATGGATCGGGAACTGGAATTGCTCATGCCCACACGAGAAGATGAAAATTATGCAGAAATCAGAAGGAGGCAAGGTTAGACCAGTTGGTGTCAGGAAAATCGATTTCTTATCTGAGTGTCATAGAAAAGGGTTTACGAGGTTCAAGAACAAGTACGCTGGCAATGAGGTGATTGATAAGTACTGGCTAAATGAGATCCGTAACCCCCACGCAGTCAAGGTACCTCTCGATCAGTCTGCATTTAACAGCAACCAATCAAAGAGTACAATCCTGGCTGTCCTATGTGGTATCCACAACGTGGTGATAAATAGTGACAATACGCCTGATGAATATAAGAAAGTTTGGGAGTGTATGTGGCACAGCCTAGCCGTAAAAGGACCGGTCGTGGTGATGGAAGATGAGAGGAACTGGGAAAATGGAATTCCATCGGGATGGCGCTGGACGGCATTACTGGACACCGTACAAACTATAGTTTTAGAGTTGTGGCACGTTACTGCAAGGAACACTGTTACTGTCCGGTTCCAATCGGACGATCAACAATGCAAGGTGACGATATCATCTTCTCCACAAATTCACGGAAATCGGTGGAAGTCCTGGTAACTTATTAACAGCAGCAGCTGTGATTAATATGAGGCTATATGTAATACTTTGTTATGTGAGTGTATGCATTAACAGTCAGTCGTGATTAAAACTGCGTTTCATTACAACAATGATTGACTTTGAAAAACTTTACATAGACGATGCTAATAATTTAATTTATTTATTTCCTGTAATCAAATTAAAAGTTACAAATTGTTTTTAGAAACGGACATTGAAAGCAAGAGACACCATTTACCAGGAAATCATAAATTTGACCAATTGTAAGTAACTGTTTATAATAGCACAACATATTGAACTTTAATAATATCATGACAACCTTATATACCATGTTTTCAGCCTATTCAAACGATTATTTATATTATTATTGTTAATATTTAAGGATTAATAGAAGTGTACTTATGTGCCAACACTTCGTGTGGTGGATACTTCGCGCTCGTTGCTCACACTTTCGCTGCAAATCTGATACTGTACAAGACAAGTACAAGAAGACCAGCCGGCCGGTCGTGGGTGGCAAGATGTGCGCGAGCGCCCTCTTCCTATTGGTCAGACTCAAAAGGATGAGGGTAACACGTGTTATAGTCGGGTCACACACACTAAAGGAATCTGCTGACATATAACATCGTTGCACACGGTCCCATTGTTGGAGTGACCGAAATATTACCAAAACTGCTGATGCAGCGGCACGTGGAGCAACAACGGACGTGGAGGCAATCCGAGTATTAGAGTTCACTTTTAGATCAACCATCGATCGGGTCACATAGTTAGGTTAGTTATTAAGAAATATAATGTAATTTTATTTCATTAAATTAGTATTAAGTAAATTTTGGTTTTCTTTGAAATCTCCGGCTGCAGCTTCTATAATTCACAACAGTCCGACGTTGGTTTCAAAACAACAACGAAAACAAACATATATTAAAACAAAAGATCACTTTGTGTGGTCCTTTAAGACTAACATATATCTAAAAGGAGCGGGCCGATTGTAATGTCATCGTCAACAGAGTCATTCGTGAAACTATTTTAAAATTAAAGCGAACATATTTTTAACTTAGAACAAAACGTTGGTAGTGTAATAAATTCATGTGACGTACGCAAGAAAATGAAATATGATCGAATTACAGCTTACTCAAATACAGACAAACCCGTTCCAAGAAGTTAAGTATTCGATGTTGGACATCTTTTACAATTTTGTAATATTGCAGTTCCTAAACCAGCGTTGAAAAAAGAAACTTCATTATTCGAATAAAAAAGACCGAGCTGCCGCCTCTTTTCGCCGTACGAATTAAATAATTAAATCTACAACAGAAGTGAACAGTTAAGTGCCAGCTGTGCTCAAATAAGAAAAAGCACATTTGGATTGAATCCTGAGCTGTCTCTTTTCTTACTCCACATGAAGTTGTGTTCCGACACACAGATTCCTCTAGTTCCTTTGGACGTTGACTTTGATAAACATTATACTCAGTCAAAGAGCATGTGAAAAGTACAAAATACTTATATTAATACCTTACAGGTAGGATAATTCAATAAAAAGAAGTGACCAAATGTAAATGTGATGGAAAACATACTTTTAATATAAAAAAAAAAAACAAAAATTTAAATCAAAATTTTATAATTAAGTCTAGGCTGTCCAAGCAATTGTGAAAGTCGAGAGCTACGCCATCGGTTCGTAAATCTACGCCGGCAGACCTTGTACCGAGAAGAACCGGTAAAGGGCTGCTCTTTTCTCCTCATTTTGTTTTTTTTTTTCGAAAAACTGAACTCTCAACATACAATTCTTTTTTCAACTTTTAAGATACCCGAAGACATTACCTAAATACTAATGTAATAACCAAAGCTCCAAGTAAAATAGTTTACAAGTAATAACTATTTGAATATCATCCTGTCATCCGAGACTCTTGAAGGACGCAGGTAAATATTAAATTTCAAATGAACGCCGAGTACTATCTCTTCGACAGTTGGATACTGATGAAATTATACCATGTAAATAATTTTTAAATATTATGGCATATTATATTTGTATATTGTGTACTAGATTATATGATTATATATTTCAGTTTCTCAACCATCGCCAACATCAGGGTTTGAATTTCCTAGCATGCCTTGAGTAATTGAGGAAGTAGAAGTGGAAAGTAAGCAATATATATCAATATTTCACTAAATTTTCTCAGCTGATGGCTTATTTTAATTTACTTCATATTTCAGCTACTTTCATGGAAACAGAGCCAAACCCACAACCACCAATTATTGTGACTCCACCACAACCATCAGAAGTGCAAGATAACTTTGGAATATTTATACTTTGTTTTGGTATTTGATGATTGCTAGGGTGGTGCACTAATTGTTAGTTTACACAATAAAAACCAACACAGGATATAGAAATGAAAAGTCTATTTCAATCCAACTGAGATGCGAACCTGAGTTCTCAGAAATGGCAACATTCTAAAAATCGACTGTAAGCCACTTGTTCATTAAGATTACAAATCACCATGCCATATTTTTGCAGACCCCTTGGAGCTCACACCTCTTCAACCGCAACCAGTTCGTTCTGGGAATAATCAAACATCTCAAATTGAATTCACCGAAACGCGAACCACTCGAGTTGCAACAGAGTCAGGTCAAATAACACCCCGTCGAAGCAGATCGACACGTAAAAAAGGAACTCGTCGCAGACGCCTCAGGCTAGCAAGCACCGAGCAAGCAGCACAACATTTTATTCAGGCAGTCGAAGAATGGAGAAGATTTAAAATGACTCAACATAATGACTACATGGAATTGAGAAGGGAGCAAAATAGAATAAGAGCTGACGAAATTCAAGTCCAAAAAAATTGGCAGGGTATATGCGAAAGAGCATTAGACCTTTTAGAAAAAATAGTCAATAAATATTGTAATGAATGATTACTCATTGAACAAATAAACTTTTTATTTAAAAGTTATGATTCTTAAAAATTAAAGGGTATAATTATATAATTCAAAAGAGGGTTGCAATTTAAATGATTTATTTCAATCTCTTTTACTTGTCACTGTAACCTTCTCATCAATTGACTCCTTAATTGCCTACCTCTAATCAATTCTGTGGTGGCTTCTCTCTCTACATGTGTTTCATTGATATTCGTTTCAATTTCGTGATCTAGAATTAAATGACTTAAATATCAATAACTTCAAACACTTGATAATAAAATAGAATATAAGAGATAGAATTAGTTTTAACATACCACTTTCTTCATCTGAGTCAGTAATATTACACTTTATGCAAAAATTGTGCAGTACAGCACAAGCCAATATTTTTTTGCACATTTTAACGGTTTATAGTGTAAAACTCTGTCTTTGTGCAGACAACGCCATCGATTTTTTAATTTCGAAAATGTGTTTTCAATTAACACTCTGACTTTCTTATGTCTCATATTATAGAGACCCTCTAGTGTGTCATTTTCAGCATCTGCGATTTTAACAAACATAAGAATAATTATTATTATTTATATGTTTGTTATAATTAAAAGTAAAAAAAAATAAGTTTCATGTAAAACTAATGTAGGGACACAGCATAAATGTATTTAGCTGACTTAACATTTTTAGCTTGCGTCAGAGCACACTTGCTCGCGTTCGCCAGTCGTTCTCCGTCACACCTAGCGCTAACGTTGATTTTTATGACATCACTAATGCAGAGGTAAGTGACGACTTTAATTTAGTTGAGAAAATACGTCACACGACATCTAAATATAGGCCCAATTTAAAAAGCAATAGCAACACACGATCTTTTTTCGTTCATGCAGATTTGAAAACGTGTAGTCGTGTTTTTGTAAGGGATGACACTGTTAGACGACCCTTAAAGTCGCCTTATGATGGTCCATATAGTGTTTTAAAGCTTTCAAGTAAAGAATTTATGATACAATTGCCAGATTGCAAAGTAAATATATCGATAGACCGCTTGAAACCGGCGTACGTATTGAACGGTAACAACAACGTCACGCCCACAGTCACTCAGCCAAGTAGTAACAAAGTAAATGTAGACTCAAGTAAAGTAAGAAACTAGATTGTTTTCAAGACTAGGAGCGATCGTATAGATAGACCACCAGTTCGATTTATACAATAAAGATCCCGTGGGCCATGTTGCTCAACAGGTACGTCGCATACTCTGTTGGGATGCCAAGGGCAAATTGTTTGCATAGAGTTATATTAGAGTATGATTGTTTTATATAATGATTTTCAATTCCACTGAATACGTCACATTGGTTGGTGTTTTTAGAGACGTATTATTTTTTTTTTAAAAAGAAATGTGTAGTCAGAGTCTTAATGATGTACGCACTGAGGATTAACAAAAATGGGCATTTTCCAGGAATAATATCTCCAAAACGGTTGGTTCAAAAATTATGAAAAAAATATATGTGAATCATCAACTCTTTATCTCTATAAAGAGCGTTTAAAACAATTCTATCTTTAAAAATTCTATATATAATCAATTAAAAACGGAACGCTGTCGTAAAACTTCCAGGAATAATATCTAATAAACGGCTACGAATTTTGGAAATGTTTAAACACTAATAGAAAGGTAATCAGAAGTACTCTAAAAAGAGCGTTGCTCATGTAAATCAGTTAACATTCGCTGAACAAACTATCGAGTCTATCGAAATTTCAATCGATATATTGCGGAGGGGCTGTGTGCGGGCGCGCGCGGCAGTCTTCCGCTGGCATTCCGACGAGTAGCCTGTGTCGCTCGTTGCTCCAAAGTACTATATGCGATCGACACGAATTTATCATAGTGTGCGTGAAACGTGTTTTGATATTTATCCTTGAATTAGTAGTGTTTATTTTTTTTGTTTTTGCGCTCGGACGCTTTTGTGAACCTTATTATTGTGAATATTTTGTAAATAAGTTTAGATATAAGTTTGTAATATAATAAACATAGATTAATATGACGCACTGGGCGAGGAGCGCGGGAGGAGGACCGACAGCGGCCGACGGTGACGCATCCTTCGGGTGGTCTCGGAAACCGTCGTGTTTCGTCGCGCTGCCATTTAAAAACAGCTGTTAGAACGGACAGTTGTTCACTTTCACTTTTTAACTCAATTGAACACATTCTTGAAGCATGTAAACGAAATTGAAGAAAATAAATAATTTATCAGCAAAGGGGTGTGGATTCATTTATTTCTTGTCATATACAATTGATATGTATGAATTTATCGCAAAACGACACATAATTGTCCAAGGTGCAAAATACATACTTAACGGTATTTAGGTCACTATACGGTAAGTAAGTATTATAAAAGTTGTAACTTTCACGCACGTACGAAAAATTGATGAACATTTTAAAAAGTATATAAAGAAAGTAGCTGATAATGTTTATTCATTTTTTATAAAATTTTGGCAGTGCAACATCGTTAATATTTAATTATCATGGGCTGGGGACAAAGCAAACAAGAAAACGTAGCAGTCGCTCAGGCTCAGACAGTTGCAGATAATAATGCAAAATTCGAGTCAAAGACAGTCTATTTGTCGATTATAGTATTAGTTGCAGTCATATTATTATAAGTGTGTATTATTGTATAGTATTATTGTAGTGTGCATCATATTATGTGTTATAAGACAGCAGTGTATAATAACCACCAAATCATGGTTAAGAAAGCAAGTTTCTAATGGTGGCACACAGGAACAGCTCGTAATTAGAGTACAGTCGATGCCACAACAAATGCAGCAAGTTTAGACACTGATAACAGAATACGGAGTGAAGATAGTTTTGATTTTAATTTTTAACAAAGTTTTTTTCGTACGTACGTAACAAGTGTTACATATACATATTATTTTAATATCCGTGTTAGTATTTAAGGTATTTCTGACAGTTATGGTTATTGAAGATAACTAATGGGATTATTAAATTGACCAGGAATTTTAATCAGGACCCTTTAGAAAATTTCTTCGGTAGCATAAGGAGTTACGGGGCAAGAAATATCGCACCCAACACAGTGGCATTTGAGGGTGCATTCAAATCACTGTTATTAAATAATTTTAGTGCGACCCACTCGAGAGGAGCAAATTGTGAAGAAGATGATACTAATGAGTATCTTCAATCATTAAATTTTTTTTTAACAGAAAAAACAGAAAATCCTTATGCTCCTGAAGAAATTGATACTATACACTATAGTAATGAAATGAACTTTGACCAGCCATATGAAAATGATGCTGGTCAGAGCAACTACTTTTGTGGATGGGTCCTAAAATGTATTTAAAAAAAGGAGTGAAAGGTTGTGATGATTGCAAACGGTCTTTACTAGACACAGAAAATAAAAATAATGCCTTTATCAAAGCTAAAGAATATACAGGAAAGAAATGGCTTTGTTATCCGAAATCCGAAATGAGCAAGTAGAAATATATTTTCAAGATGTACGTAATATAACCATTTCTTTTCTAAAAAAAAACGTACCTAAATTTACTTTGAAAAAGTCCATAGTTTCTATTATAGACGTCTTAATTAAGAGTCCTTTTAAATGCCCTATACACAAAATTGACTTAAAAACACATTTTTTAAATTACTCTGTCAATGTAATAATTAACAGTTGGTGTCGGTCCATCAATCGGATTTTATCTGGGAAGTTAAAATACACAGGCAATGATGATGATTGTAAAAAAACAGCTCAAGAATATTATAATAAACATAAAAATTATAAAAATAGAAAATAAAGAATTAAAAAGACAACTTATTCTTTTATTCCACACATTTTTACGACCTTTTTTCTCTAAAGAATAGAATCTGACTTATCATCGAAACAAGAAAATTAGAATGAAATCCTATTGTAAGTGATTTTATTTTAATATTCTGAAAATAATTTAAGACCTGCCCGGATGCCCAGCAGGTGGCGTTTTTAATTCTTGTTCAGAAATCTAGATGGCACCTGTGTTTCATATTCAGTCTACATTAAAATCCCTAGAGAGGGCACTCTTTTTCCGCTATATTTACTACTCTTTGACATAAACATTAAAGCCATGTATATAAAAGTGAGGAACACTGGTCACATAGCAGCATATAATATCTGTAAGAGGTAGCTTATGCGCTCTGATTTATATATAGTCAGGACATGCTGTGCGCTCTTGGACAAGCCGGCTATTGTGGTGACTTTGTTAAAAAATTATAAAGTAATAAATATCTAAAAACATGAGAGCTGGCGTATCATTATTTAGAACCCTCACATGGCGCTGCGGAACTACGGACTGCATTATAAATAAAAATACGATAAATTAAATACCATGAAATAAAAGATGGAATTATTACAAGCTCCTCCGCCATTACCGCTTGAAAATTTGAAGCTTACAAAATTGGAAACAGAAGTTTGACTTGAACTTTTTGGCAAGTGGAGTAGATCGACGCTTGACCGACAAACAGAAAAAGGTACTTTTATTACACTGCATAGGAGATGAAGGCCTGCAAATTTATAATAGCTTCGAAGATATAAAATGAAACAAATGATAAAGAAGTACTTTTGAGATTAGAAACATATTGTAGTAAACCTTCCAACGAATTAATCTGCGAAATGATCGCGTTGCATGATTTGCCTTTCAATTTCATAGAAGGTATTGGTTTTAGACGTTCATCCTAAACTTTATGAAAATACTCATCAGAGGGTACTCAACCGCATCACAGAACTGGAACAGGAGCTCAACTTGGCAAATAATAAAATAGAAGTACTGCTCGAACAACAAAAATAACATGAAGCAGAACACACCCAAAGTCTTTTTGAAGAACTGGTAGCATCACCTGGAGGCCAGTCGATGAGGCATCAACTAACAACCTGAGATGTTACACTCTAAGACTCTGATTAATTTTAATTTTTAGTGATGAAATTGGCAAAACAAGGGCCGTCTGCTATTCGATAAGGGCCATTCAACATTAAACTTCTGTATGCCTAATTCTCATTCTTTTAGTGATATTTTGGAAAAAGCAATTAAACAAAACTACAGCGAAAATACCACTAATTGTTTTTTATTGGCAATAGAGGTACTTTGAACAAACATAAATTATTGAAATATATAAACAAATTAAATTCATTAAGTGTTGGGAAAGTCGTGATTTTTACGTTGCCGTATTGCAATAGTTTGTCCAATGAAGAAAATAACTTGCGATACAAATTGAATATGACATTGCACACTATATGCAATACTGTAAAGTTTCATGTCATTGACACTAACAAGTATGTTAGAAAATTATATTTGGCCGCTGCTGCAGAAAGTCTCAAACGGCGAAAATATTCAGGTATAAGTAATACCTACATATTTGAGCCGTTTGGGGTCGAAACGATGGGTCCGTGGGGCCCTGAAGCCCATCGTCTTTATCAAGAGTTAAAAAAGAAACTTTTTGACAGGTCAGGTGATCAGAAGGCTGGTTTGTACCTCGCCCAAAGAATTAGTTTAGCTATTCAAAGAGGAAACGCTCGCAGCCTTCTGGGTACCTTACGTGTAGGCAATGATCTGGGAGACATTTTTTATTTAGTATAGTTATTATTTTAAGACAGTTTAGATAAGTAGTTTTAATTTATTAGACCTTTTATTTCAATTTGATTAAAGATAAATATTATCTTTCCAATTATTATAAGAGACAAATAGCTATTTCGCTATCATATTTTTTTTTGTATAACAGCCAAAAATCTAACCAGATTGCTCCTATTGAGCACTCTTCTATTGACATGACTGTCAGTAATAATCCTACTGACATTGCGACAAATTCGTCTTTATAATATGAACCTATTGTACCTTATG